TTTATAGATGATTACTCTAGGTATGTGTGGGTATATTTTCTTACCCACAAGTCTGAGGTGTTCTCAACCTTCAAAAGTTGGCGCATATAAGTTGAGACTCAGACTGGACACAAGGTGAAATATTTACGATCAGATAATGGTGGCGAGTATACTAGTGAGGAATTTCAGAGGTATTGTATAGAGGAGGGGATTACTCGCCATTTCACGACGGTTTATACTCCACAACAAAATGCTGTTTCTGAGCGACTCAATCGAACAGTGTTGGAGAAAGTGCGGAGTATGCTAAGCGAATCCGGTTTACCAGGGGAATTTTGGGCCGAAGCTGTCAACACCGCAACTTATTTGGTAAACCTTTCTCCTTCTAGTGCAATCAATTTCTCAACACCGTTTGAACTAAGACATAAACGGATGGCAGATTATAGTCGTTTGATAATTTTTGGTTGTACTGCTTATCCTCTTATACCTAAGGAGCACAGGAACAAATTAGAACCTACATCCAAGAAATGTCGTTTTCTTGGATATGCTAGTGGCGTGAAAGGTTACAGGCTATGGGATCTTGTTGCCTGCAAGGTGATTGTTAGTAGAGATGTTTCTTTCAATGAGCCTCGCTTATTGAAAGAGGGGGAGAATGTGGAGGCTAACAAGGGGAAATCTTTACTCACTGATATTGTTGTGGGGGAGTATGATCATTCTATCACAAATGATATGTCACATGAAGAAGCACCGATACATGTGGAGCAAGTTCTTGAGGAACAAGAATCACAGGAACAGGCTATTATTGGTGAGCCTATTGCAACAATACCAGACAACAGAGATCAAATGGAAACGTCTACTAGGAGATCACAACGATCTAGTAGAGCGCGTGAGAGATTTGGTGTATGGGCAAATTCATCTATTCTCAAGGATCGTGATCTTGATTTTGAAGAGGAGGATGGTATGGCGTTGATCCTGGAAGAAGGTGAACCCTCTTCATACAGAGAAGCTCAAGCTTCGGTCAACAAGCTTGAATGGAATGCTGCTATGGAGCGAGAGATGCAGTCACTGATTGACAACAAGACTTGGGAGTTGGTTGAGCTTCCTAAAAATCAGATAGTGATTGACTCCAAGTGGGTGTACAAGCTGAAAGACAATCCAGCAGGAGATGATGCAAGAATCTTCAAAGCCAGACTAGTGGCTAGAGGTTTCACACAGGAAAAGGGTGTGGATTATAACGAAGTTTTTTCGCCTGTAGCAAAATACGCTACAATTCGTCTGGTATGTGCACTGGCCGCAACATTCAGTCTTGTTATGGATCAGATGGATGTGGTTACAGCTTTTCTTTATGGATATTTAGAGGAGGAGATCTACATGAGACAACCAATTGGCTTTGAGGTCAAAGGCCAGGAGAGATGGGTCTGTAGATTACTGAAATCATTGTATGGACTGAAGCAAGCTCCTAGGCAGTGGAATACACGTTTTGATGAGTTTATGAAGGCACAAGGTTTTCTACGAAGCGTGTATGATCCTTGTGTCTATATGAAGAAGGTGAATGATGAGACTTTCAATCTCATCATTTTAGTACTCTACGTTGACGACATGCTTATCTTGGCAAAGAACCAATCCGATGTCGATGAATGCAAAAGTCAGCTGAAGTCTGCATTTAAGATGAAGGATATGGGGTAGTCAAGAAGGATACTAGGCATGGATATTTATAGAGATTTTGAACAGAAGAAGCTATGGCTGAGTCAGGACAAGTATGTTCGCCGTATACTTGACAGGTTCAACATGGCCGATTCGAAAGGAGTATGGACTCCTCTGCCGGCACATTTAAAACTTTCCGCAGCCCAATGTCCTACAGATGCTGTGGAAAAGGGAAAAATGTCATGTGTTCCCTATGAACAAGCTGTAGGCAGTCTCATGTATTTAATGGTGTGCACTAGGCCTGATATTGCTCTAGCAATGGGAAAGTTGAGCAGGTACATGTCAAATCCAGGAAAAGTTCACTAGGAAGCAGTGAAATGGATTCTGAGATATCTGAAGAGTACTGTGGATTATGGCTTATTGTTTGATGGCTTATTAGACAATGCCAAGTCCCTGTTTGGCTACGTTGATGCTGACTATGGACAAGATTTAGACAAGAGGAGATCTACAACCTGATATGTGTTTACACTTGGCGGCGGAAGCATTAGTTGGAGATCTACCTTGCAGAAGTGCGTAGCTCAGTCAACAACAGAAGCTGAGTACGTGGCAGCAGCAGAAGCAGCAAAGGAAGCTATTTGGTTAGATAAGCTTATCATGGAGATGGGACTAACACAAGGCGTGGTCAATCTTCATTGTGATAGCCAGAGTGCTTTACATTTGGCTGCGAATCAAGTCATGGATAGCCGAGTGAAGCACATCGACATCAGGTATCACTTTATTAGAGAAGCGGTGTCTGATAAAACAATTGAGCTAGTCAAGATTGACGGTAAACTCAATCCAGCTGATGCGTTGACCAAAGTTATTCCTTTGGAGAGTTTCAGGCGACATTGTGCTACTATGCAAGTTGTGCATAGGGAACACGAGAGATATGGTTCTTAGTTACCTCTGTATATTGTTACTCTATCCTCTTATGGCTACGGTTTAGTTTTAGTTAACTCTCGTTTAAAGAGGGACCTTGTGATAGTTTTCCGTCTAGAACTTTCCGCAAAGTAATAATATAGGTTAGAGAGGTGATTAAAATTTCTTGACATGAGTTAAGGTGAGATATTGTTGAGTTACCTCTGTATATTATTACTCTATCTTGGTATGAGAGTAATAATATAGGTTAGAGAGGTTACTGAGATTCCTTAACGCGAGTTAAGGGGGAGATTGTTGATATTAACTCTGGTTAAGGAGTTAACTGAGGTTAGTTAACCTTGGTTAACCGCATATGTAGCTATTTATAGCTTAGGTGGTTGACTACCTTGGGTATATATACCCTGAGGGTGATAGGAAGAGTATCACTTCAAGCATTCAAGCAGTAAACTCTCTAGTGCTCTTCTCCCCGTGGACGTAACCTTTGAGGGTGAACCACGTTATACTTTCGTGTAACTCGTGTTGGTGTGACTCTGGTGTCGGTTTAACGTTAACAAAAAATACCTATAAGATATTGTTGCAAAATAAAATAACAGATTGTCACAAAATATTCAAAAAGTTGATAAATTTTAATAAAAATGTAAAATGGTGGTAAAATACTCATTTATTTCCTTAAAAAAATTATAATTCGAAATGGATTGAAAAACATTTACCAAAGTGCTTTAAAATATTTCTTCAACTATTTCAATATGATGATTAACATTGATACCAAATTGATCAAATTGATAAGTAAATACTAATGTATGATAATCTTGGAAATTAAAAAAATATTGATATGAAAGGTCATAAAATATTCATACACAGTTTTAAACCAATGTCTAACAAAAAATTAAAAAATTAAAAAAATTGAGCTTCAAATTTATAAATGTATTGAAACTATATAAGTTTTTTTTAAAATAATAGGATTCTAACTCATAATAAAAGTTGATGATAAGAATTCAAGATAAAGATTTAAGTAGCGTTACAAGATAGATGTAAATTCATAATAACAAAATAATGCAAAACAAATCAAAATCAATCAAGGATACAATTAATTAGAGTTTAAAATTATAGACGTAATAATGATTATGAAAAATATTAAACAACTAATCGAGGCAATTTTTATATTATAGTTGAAAAAATGTTTTGAAGAAAAGAATTCAACTAAATTGAGAGATGATTACTCCGAAAATAAAAAATCTGATGAATGGTGATGATAAAAAACCAATATATTTTGAAAATAAAGAAAAATACTTAACGCTATGTTAAGGATATTATGAAGACTTAATAGTATTTTTTGAGTGACTAAGATGGTGTATTATTATTTTCCAATGAGTTGACGTAATAATAAAAAATTACATGTCAATTTTTGTTTTAGGTTGAATTTTATACTATGTGAATTGATTCTGCGTGAAAATTGATACAAGCAGCTAATAATTTAACTCTTGCAATTTTATTAATTCATTCTTACGATTTGATAATAAAATTAAAATTTTAAAAAATAAATTAATAATGCTGAAAACTTTGTTTGATTTTTACATGTAATAATTTTTATTTTAATACAATCTAATTTAACCAAAATTTAGTTCATAATTAAAATTTGATCTAGGTTGGGATTTTATATTATTTGAAAAATTACCATGATAACATATGATAATTATCATCTAATTTAATTTTATCAGAATAATTTTCAATATTTAAATATGAATAAATGCCATTGGCATGTCTAATATTTCTTAAAGATTTCTTGTCCCTTAGTTGAGTGGCTGACATGTCACATTGGAGACCTTGAAATTTACAGCATTTTCATTTATCCAAACTTGACAGATTTGCCAAATCAACTTTTGATTTAGTCTAAGTAAATAAATTTTCAGCTGAATATTTCGTCAAATTAATCAAAATTAGCATGCAGTCAAAATTTCTCACTCTAGTATCTAAACTTTGATATGACACTAAATCAAAGTTTAGATATGACACTAAATCAAAGTTTAGATATGACACAAAATATTAATGTTCATTATTAAATTCTAACAACATTCTGCTAAGTATAAATTTTATAGCTAGACTTAGTCAAGGATAATATATACCAACACCACCCGTTAAGTGCAACAATTGTATCATCAACATCATCACAAGCCGCAGCAAAGAATGGGGACATCTCCTGCATCGGCCGAAAGGAAGCCAAAGCGCAAAAGATCACCTTATGCTTTCCATACTCTTGGCTCTTGCGCAATATTTATTCCACTATTTGTGATGATGTTTTGAAGTTCACATTTGTCATGACTCCTAACTTGATAACAATTCTATGCAAACATTTATTACATTCAATCTCCAAAGGAATCAAGCTGGATAATGAAAAGTATCTCACGATCTTAAAGCATTGAAGCGATTTTATTTATGAATCATACATCTGAATTGAAACAACACCTTTCAACGTTTAATCACAGCGATAAACCATCCAACAACGATCTTGCACATAAATGTGTAGAACAGAGGATCGGAAATAAAGAACACGCCCGCAACCGCTCTCTATAAGAGGCTTAGCATCTGATTTTAGTTATCTTGATCGGGGTTCCATTTACAGGGGTAGCCAGCAGTCTGTACTCAATTTTTTCATTTGGAACAAGCACCGTCCAATCAATCTTCCGGAGAAAATGGTGCAGAAATATAAGCAGCTCAACTCTGGCAAAGTCCTGTCCTGGACATATGCGATGACCTGCTCCGAAAGGAAAGTGGATCCATGGTGGCATCTTTTCCTTGTCTTCGTTAAATCTGGACGGTTTGAATTTTTCTGGATCTTTACAGAACTTGGGATCCCAACTGGAATTCGCATTTGTGAAACATAGCTGCAAGATCCAAACCAAATTTTCAAGAAAGTTTCTACCTACTAACAATCTCAAACACCAGATTAAGCAGAACATGACCATTCATAGTCATACCATGCTATTGCTTTACGGAATGGTCATCCTCTAAATGAGCTCAACAGATGTTCGATGCTCACTACATCTTCTCTTTTCAGGGAAGTTTTGTATGGAGTAATGAATTCCAAACTGAAGTCAAGGGTAGTCAACATACCTTCCAGCCTTTGGGAATAGTGTAACCGTGGTGCTCGAAGGTTATCCTGGCTTCACGAAACATCACCTGATTGGCCGGATAGAGCCGCATGACCTCTTGCATAACCCTCCAAGTATATTTCATGGCCCACAGATCTTCTTTCGTTAAAAGCTCACCAGGTTTTTTGCTGGCGGCAATAGTTGCATGTTCTGTAAATTCGACCAACAAAAGCGGAATGAATAACGCAGTTGCTCGTGTATATAGACATCACCAGCTACAACATGTCGGTTTGGCCCCAGAATCCATGTGCAAAACGCACGGAAGGCGTTCAGAGCTCTAACCATCTGCAGTTCGTAATCTCTAAGAAAGCTGTGACTATAAGATATAATCAGAACATCAGACACTCCAAAACCATCTTCGTACAACTCAGTGTGATTTGACCTACCTCAGCTGGCCGTGTCCAGGCACAACACGTAATTCAGATCTACGTGAAAACGACTCCATTCCAGTCTAAAAACAGGAGCACGTAAGCAATCGACGCAATTCCTTGTGCCTGGAGATTGTCAACCAGATTCATTGTCTTCGACGGTATTACTTGCCTTGTTTGAGCTCCTCGTAGACGGCAGGATCCTCTTTGATGAGTCGGAGGGAGAGAGTGAGCATGGCTGCGGTGGTGTCGTGGCCTCCGAAGACCAGCTGCAGCAAGCTGTCACAGAGCTCGTCGCTGGTCAAGAAATGGCCTTCACTGTTAGGCGTAGAAAGCAACACCGACAGTAGATCTTGGGTTGGTGAAGCCCGTCCAGCTTTCAGATCCTGTCTTCTCTTTTCGATGTGAACGTTCAGCATCTGATTGATGAGCTTCCTCGATCTGAGAGAGCGCCAGTATTGAAATCCTGGTAGATTTACCGGAAGGGCCATAAGACCTGCAGCCATATCGTGGAAAACTTCATTGAAGTCTATAATGTCTTTCTCATTGGAAATTCCCAGTATCAGCTGCGTGATAAGTGAGAACGAGAACACGTTCATAAGCTTGAAAGCTTTCACTTCGGATCCATCTTCGAGCGCCAACCAATACTTATCGATATGTTTCACCGCTTTCTTCTCCATCGTCGAGATGTACTGGTGCACGACATCAATGTCTAGAAAATTCTTCATCACAAGATTTCTGTGCAGAAGGTACTCATCTCCATATTGCGAACTTAGAGCATGCTTCCCAAGTAACTCTCTAACAGGCTTCGGCCACCACCCTTTTGTCCACTTCATTTCGTTATGGCTCAACACGAGCTTGGTGCCAGCTGGTGCATCTAAGAAAACTGACGGACTACCCATCAGCGACACCTTGAAAACCGGCCCATACTTGCGAATTTTTTCGTCCACGTAGCTCTTGATGGTCATATTGTAATATGCGTTCACATACCTCAAAGAATCTCCGACCATCGGCAGGCCCAGACTACCTGGAGGAACTTCTTCTTTTGACTTCTTTCTCTGTTTCACCGACATGTCGAGCACTGCTGTCTTGGATTTGTCGATCATAGCTGCCACAAATTTGCGGATCCATCCCGAGCTAAGAGCAAGAGTGAAAATGGTCACAAGCAGTACCAGCGATGTCAAGAAAGTTCGATAAGATTTTTCGAAACCTCTAGTATCGTTTGACAGAGCTCGTGACAATGTGCTGATTGAGCTTCCAAAAGCTCCAACCAGATTGGTTTTTACGCTGTCCATCGCAAAATTTCCCCGTCTGGAATCCTGTGGACGACCTCTCGAAGTGTTGTGGGACTGACGAGCTTATATCGACATCATTTAACTACCTCGGACCGGAAGTCAGAAGACCGAATGGCCTCCCAAGTTTGACTTACCACCTGGTTTTGAAGCCCGGTAGTTTTGCTCTGATAAAATGAGAGCAATGCAAGGTTTGACTTACCACCTGGTTTTGAAGCCCGGTAGTTTTGCTCTGATAAAATGAGAGCAATGCAAGCTTTTATAGTGTCCATGGGCGAGGTATGAGGAAGAGATTGGACCTTGTCGGGCAGGAGCGGTTAGATTCGGTCATGCTGTCCAGTGCAGGCGGAAACGCTGCGGCTTTCGAAGGTTTATGCTCCCCAAGACAAGAGTGAATCTTCTCTGCTCTTCGCTCGGAGTTGTGGGACGAGTATAGCGCAATATTGGAGAGGAATCAGCATCTGCATCATGCACGCACCCCTCACATAATGAGAGTTTCAGAAAGAATCGCTTGAGTCGAGCATCAGGTCCTCCTAACGGAAAGGCCAGAATTCGATATTTTTCGATTTTCGGATTTCCTTGAAGTTGCTCAACTTGTTCTAGTCCTTCTTCAATAGATATATGTTCTAATTTTCCACTATCTTCAGTAACTTCACACAGTAGGACTCGAGTCTGGAGTATAGAATTGTTTAATTAAAGAGTTATTTAGGGTGGCATTTTCGAAGTAATTTAGTCAATACCATGTTGTTTGTGTCAAGATTGTGGCTTTGACACGCTAAGAGAAGATTCTTCTAATAAAGCATAACATTAGATTGATGACCAAATTTGCTCGCATCACCTTAACACTCAAGCCGAATGTGGTGGTCTGCATTTCCTTCAGTCACTAAATTTGGAATATCTTGTAAAATATCATCATGATCTGGTTGTCAATAGAAGTGGTTAGTATAATCAGAAAGCGTTGAAAGAAAGCATTTGAATTTGAAGGGGCTCAAGTTCACAGAAGGAATAACGGTCGATATGATCTCTTCCCTCTTATCACATTTTCGATTGGTCGAAAGCTATGGTTAATGTTCTCCAATAGTGTCAACCTAAACGCATCCAACCCACTATGTAAGCGATTTCCGGCTGTTTGTAGAACATGTCATACTTGAAATCAGCCATTTATTATCAAAAAAGTTAGTTATATTAACATTTGTGTGTGTGTATATATATATAATACAGTTATGAATAATCCTCAATGAAATTTCAGTCGCAGTAATTCATGTATCCTTAGTGGTTGCGTGCTATCCATAAGGATAGCACGAGCAAGATGCTTTCTGTGGTAACACACTTTTTGTTTTTTTTGCAGAATTTAAACAATTTTAGAAAACTAGTACCAAAGCAGTGTTTGTAGCTAGAGAAGGGTACGCTAAATAGAGTGGATTGATGAGATCGTCACGAGGGCACAAAGAATCACGTAGTCGGATGTACCAACGCCAACGTCTTCGGCGCCTTCGGCAAAGACTTCTTTTTGAGGTGTCTCTACTCACGCGCCTCTAGCGTACAAGGAAGCTACGCTTCCGGCGCAGACACCTCAGGAGGAGGTTTTGCTAAAGACGTCAGGAGAAGGGCCCGGACCTCTAAAGGCATCCGACCATGAGTGCGCCTTCGGCGAAGCGCCGCTAGCGCGGAAAGGGAAAACCTTCATAACAATCGGGATACACGGTAGATCCAGTTGGTTGAAGTTGCATTAGAAAGAGCTCGGGACGCTCGTTCTAACGAGCCCAAGAGCGCCGGAGATGGATCAGGAATGGAGAAGTTATGAGCGTCGGAAAACTCGTAGCCGGACATGCGCCGTTCGCGCTAGGGTTCACAGCCGGAAAGGATTCCCGTACGCCCTCGGCGATGCGCCTTCGGCGGAATCACGCGCTCACAGGAGGAAACCAACTCAGAGTCGGAAGCGCCTTTGGCGGCTGTTCATGGAAGGAAAGCGCCGGTCGGATGTACGCCTCCGACGTGGCGCTGACGGCCGGATGCGCTGGCACGAGTTGCGCTGACGGATATGCGCTGGCAGCAACGGACGAGGCATAAAGGACAAAATAGGCGGTACGACTGCGCGCCGGCGTAATTCGCTCCGGCTGGATGTGCGCCTCCAGCAAGGCGCCGACGGATAATGAACGCACCAGCGGCGACACGCCTCCGGAGAAGGGCGGGTTAGGAAAAGACAACAGGGCCGACGTATACCCTGCAGCGGACTCGAGTCCGGAAGGTGGCGGCGGCGGGAGAATTCAACGTTTAAGCATGCGAATGCGCGCAAGGCGGAGACGTGAATTCGCGCATGCAAAGGGCGAACCGTTAAGCCGTATAGCCGGCTGCGTACGTTGCAACCAGTAAGAACGTTGGACGTTCTTGAAATCGGAGAAGAAAAGACTGCGCTCCAGTCTCATTCTCTCATTCTTGACTTTGCAATTTCCAGTTCCAAGATTACGCGCAAGGGCGGAGCGACCTGCAGTGAGAGTAGAGAGTGCGGAGACGAGTTGCACAAGGATCTTGGCGGACCTCGAAAGAATTGGGAGTAGCGATCTTGAACGAGCGCAGAGAGAGTGAGCAGTCAGTGCTTGAGTGGCCGACGCGCAGTGGCGATTGTGAGAGAGTGAGCGAAAGAACGTTTGTGTGTGCAGGCAACGCAATGTCGAAGGTTCCCCAACTGCGAGTGTCTCCACTCAGGGTGCCGCAGATCGGTCTACGCGCATTTCAAGATGTGCTGACGAGGCTGAAGCTCGATTTTCTCCTCTGGGGGTGGAATTGGACGTGTCCGGAGATGGTGCGCGAGTATCTGCAAGAGAGACACAAGCCTTCTCGCGGATTTCGCCCACACCCAGAGAGATGGGAAATTTGCAATTGGGCGCAGGTGTTGGGCAGGTGTGCCGGCGAGGAAGGGGATCTCCTCTTCGAGGCCGATAGCGTGAAGGTGTCCCAGGAGGAAGAAGTCTCTTACAATGAGCTCTTCAAAGTGGCCAGACATCCCAAGAACGGTTTCCGGACTCGGGATTACAAGGATCGATTGCGGAGAAATGTCGCGACAGCATTGCTGCAGATATTGCAGCCGACCAAGACCGCTTACATGCATGGTTGGCAGGTAGAGTTCGTGGAGCTAGTGTTGTCAGGAGCTCCGGTGCATTGGGCACGGCTCCTGTGGAAGGTGACGCGCCAACATGCGCAAGAAGAGAGGGGAGGAACGCTCAATCATCTATCGCCTTACTTAATCGTGTTTTACCGGGCGATGGGATGTTTGACGAATGCTGAGAAAACTCGGTTTCCGCAGCTGAGCCGGTCTTATCCAGGTAGATATTCGAGGGAGGCCGAAGTAGACACGGATCCGGACGAGGAACCTGCCAGTACGCCTCCGGCTCCGGCTCCAGCCAGAGCAGCAGAAGAACGTCGAAGTGAGCGCATTCCGCGCAAGCGGAAGTGGGATGAGAGACCTGAGGACAGGCAGCCGGAAGTACCAGCTGCGCCGACTCGTGGTCGGCCCACCCCCGAGCCTCATAGTCGACCAAAACAGAGGGCACGCAGGATGCCAACTGTTACTGAGGAGACCAGGCGAACTCCGACCCGGCGGAATCTCACACAGGAAGAGATAATCGCTCAGGTTCTAGGGAAGACGGCAGAAACCTCTGCACAGAAGGCACCACGGCCTTCGGGAGGAGATGGACGGACTGACAGCCGGCCGACTGCGAGTCGGATGACTGAAGGTCGACAGACGGAAGGAAGGCCAACTGAACGGCGCGTTGAACCGGACAGCAGGCCGGAAACGGAAGAGAGTTTGGCTGACGAGCCAACAATCCTCAGAGGGTCGTCTTCGGCGGAAGGCACTTCTGGAAGAACGCCCCCAACAAGCAGGCCAAGTGGAGTCAAGACGCGCAGGGTGTATCCGACTCCCAGTCGGACAACTGCTGGTCGGCCGACTGCGAGTCGGACAACAGAGAGTCAGCCGGATTCGCCGACTGCGAGACGGATGGGGCCAACGACCAGTGTGCGGACGCCTTCGGCGGACGCACCTTCAGCAAGGACACCTTCCGCGCAGATTGCGCCGGAAGGACAGGCAGCAGAAGCGGGCGGTGCAAGAGTGACAAAAGTCACTGCGGCGTCGACCCCTTCACAAACCGAAGATCGAGCCGGAACAGGGGCTCAAGCAGTGGGATCTCCCACTGCCCTGGATATTTTAGCAGGCAGTGGAGCAGCAGTCGCAGCAGAAGCTGCTGCGCGCCACAGTTCCAGGGAGTCGCCAAGGGATTCAGTGGCGACTGAGATCCTCGAGACTGAGGATGAGACGAGCTCGGAAGAGCAAGAAGAGGATTCGGTGCAGAAAACGCCAACAGGGGTGCTGTGCGAACAGATAGTTCCACTCCTGCGATATCTGGATCGCAAGACATCCAAATACGCAAGTGCCTTAAAACCGCAGTCTTATGTGGAGACAATCAGGCGAAGGACGAGGAGCAAGGTGGCAAGGTGGGCCTCTAGATGCGGAGTATATGTGGATAGGAACACCGCCCTCCGACAACACCTGGCGGTCACCCAGAAGCTGTACCAAGCCTTGCAGCAGCAGAAGGAGGATGCGGCGACGAAGAGTCAGGCGGAGGCCGAACTAATACGGGCAAAGATCGAGTCGGAACTGCAGGAGGAGCGGAGACAGAACGAAGTCCTAGCAGCCGAGCTTGCGCGCCAGACGCGCGCCTTAGAGGAAAGTCAAAGAGCCCGGAAGGAGGATGAGGAGTTGTTGTGCAACTTGCAAACCGAGTGCTCGGATTTGAGGACACAACGTGCGGATTTAGAAATGCAGCTGGCAGAGGTGGAGAGCAGCTGCAGGGCACGAGGAGAGTTGGCGGCACGGGTGACTCGTTGTCTAAACGGATACACCCATTGGGAGGTGGCAGCTCAAGAGAGGGTTACACTCCGGGAGTTCGAGCTTCGGGCGGCGGCATTGACGGAAGGTGACAGTCGGAGTCGGCGGCGAGTGGCAAGAAAATTAGAAACTTTCTTGTCGGGTGCGCGC